AATTGGGCATTGCTAAGTATTGGGGTAGTGATAGAATGCTGAAATCAAAATATGTTAATATAACTTTTCTTATAAGTAAAGCCATTTATGTGTTTGGCTACCCTTATTAGACTGTCCTATTAGTTATCCCTACCAACCCTTTGAGTGACTGAATGAACTCTTCTGGGTTTGTGTGTGTGTTTTGGCCAGAATTCATCATTGAATATGAAGATTCAATGCATGAAGCAGGGCTGTGGCACCACCAAAGTGAAGTTTCTGGAATGCAGACCACAGCCCAGCTGAAACTGTCTCCTTACGTCAACTACTCCTTCCGAGTGGTGGCCGTGAACAGCATCGGGAGGAGCTTGCCTAGTGAGGCCTCAGAACAGTATTTGACTAAAGCCGCAGGTAAAGTGAGACATCTATGTGTTCAATAGAAAAGCCTTCCGCTGTTTGAAAAACAAAGAAACAAAGCTTACATATATGTGGCTGCTTAACTTCCAGAACCAGATAAAAATCCCATGACTGTGGAAGGCCTAGGATCAGAACCTGATAATTTGGTGATTACCTGGAAGGTGAGCTATGAAGCCTTCATAAAATATCTTTATATATTTAAGAGACAGTGTTGCGTGGTTGCTTGAAGTTTGGTCTCTGGGACTAAAATGCATGCTTGCAGATCCCAGCTCTGCCATTTGCTAACTATAGAACCTTAAGCAAATTGCTTGACATCTCTGTTATGCATCTGTATGATGGAAATAATAATAGAACCAACCTCTTATGATTAAAAGAGTTAATACATGTAAAGCATTTAGAACAGCGCCTGGCACGTACATATGCCCTGTAATTATCATCATATCTATGTGCTAGTATCATCAGCATCATAGAGAACTACCTGGGAAGGGTGTACTAAACTAGTCTCAATAATTAACTTTTTGTTTGATTTTTGCTTATTTGCATTTTGTATTTTCTGAATTTTGAAAATCAACATGTATTTACTTACATAATTTTTAAAAGTTTTAGATAGATCCATTCATACATACATGTACAAACATGTACACATAAATACATATACAAACAGGATAGAATGAGAGCTCAAGGTCTTTTCTTTTTTTAAATAGAGAAATAGTTGACACGTTTCAGTCTCCAAGTAAAATGGACAATAATGTGCTATCATACAAACAGGACTATTTCAAAGAAGCTATACTAGAAATGTTTTATGAGTCACTTACCCTTGTCCATGGAGCTGGAGTTTGAGAAGCTTATGTGGTATTTACTGCTTTGTGTAATTTGCAACCTTTGAGATGCTTATCCCAAACAAGCTTTGGATCTCATCACAAATGAAAAAGATAAAAGCTCCCTGGAGAATGAGTATTTCACTGCTCACTTTCTTTAGGTCTGTTCCAGTAAAAGGCTGCACAGTCAATCTGTTTTTCTGAGTTCTGGTTATTTGACTTTTCTTGTAGCCCTTGAATGGTTTTGAGTCTAATGGGCCAGGCCTTCAGTACAAAGTTAGCTGGCGCCAGAAAGATGGCGACGATGAATGGACATCTGTGGTCGTGGCCAATGTATCCAAATATATTGTCTCGGGCACGCCAACCTTTGTTCCATACCTGATAAAAGTTCAGGCCCTAAATGATGTGGGATTTGCTCCAGAGCCAGCTGAGGTCATGGGACACTCAGGAGAAGACCGTAAGTGTCCGATGCCGCTTCATTTGTCCTTTTATGACAAACTGGGCTTATCTCTAGCAGAACAGACTTACTAAGGTGTATGCCAAGGCCATTTCCAGAGGTGCTGAGGTTGGGAAGAAGCGAAGAGGCAATTGCTTTGCAGAACATCTCTGAATTTAAATAGCCTGCTGTGTGAAAGAGAGAGAGAGAGATATTCAGAAAGTTAAAGGTGATTACTTTTCAAACAAAAAATACATTGTTCTCACAAAGTCCAGTGAACAGATACCAGAAAATCTACTCTCAGGGCTTGCGAATCCTTAGAATAGGGCTAGGGCACGCCTCAAGCTGAAATGAGTAGCAACAGTGACATTTTTGCATGAAATTCAAAATAACATTGATATTCTACCCCTTCCTTGTCCCTCCCCTAGTTCCAATGGTGGCTCCCGGGAATGTGCGTGTGACTGTAGTGAACAGTACCTTAGCCGAGGTGCACTGGGACCCAGTACCTCTGAAAAGCATCCGTGGACACCTACAAGGCTATCGGGCAAGTGAAGCCTTACCTCTGTGTTCTTTCCTCTGTAACAGAGTCAGCATAAGCACATGGCATAGGGTTGGAAAAGACCAGAGAATTTGTTTTGTAGCCACAGGCAGGGCACATCTAAGGACCCCAATACTTAGTGTTGAATCAAAATCTCACTGTATCCAAAGTTAGAAAAAAAGACTTTTCCGCATTTTCCCCACAGATAATCTAACATTCTGCCAACTCAAGAATTAGCATGGGCACCAAATATGGAAAATACTTGTTAAAGAATAAAATGTATCAAACTGCACTTAACTTTAAAGAAAGATCAACCACATTTGTTGAATTCATAGAATTATCCTGGAAATGATTTAGACTTTTAAAATAATTCAGATCATACTTCAAGATCATATAATCCCAACTGTTGTTGTTGTTGTTGTTGTTTGCCGTCGAGTCGGCCCCGACTCATAGCGACCCCTCCTTGGGTTTCCGAGGCAGTATCACTACGGAAGTAGGATTGCCCAACCTTAACTAGGTACATCAATTATCTTTGTCCTTAGGAAGCACAGAAGACTGATTCATGGGGACTTGATTTGTAGGCAAAGAAAGTTTTGCACTAAAAAAGAAAAAAAAAAATCACTACTTGGATTTGCTATCCCTGACTCCTAGAGGTCAATTTTTGTACTGCATCATGTTAAATTTTATTTTTCTTAACATTGCCAAATCATATGTGCATATATTGACTTTGGGGAGCTCTGGTGGCATAGTGCCTAAAGCATTTGACTGCTAACCAGAAGACTGGCGGTTCAAACCCACCAGCCACTCCTCAGAAGGAAGATTGGGCAATCTACTTCTGTAGAGATACCACCTCAGAAACCCAAGGAGGGGTCACTATGAGTTGAATCGACTCGGCAGTGAGTTTGTTTGTTTGTTAATGTTGACTTCTCTTTAAAATGGCTTTAAATTTCTAAAAGTAATTTTAATTTTAGAGAACATCATAAACAATAATTCTGGATTGATAACCAAAGTTAATCAGTTCATCTCTGCAAAAATTATACCTACAATTAATATAAAAAAATAAGTATTTTCAATTAATTCCATTTGGCCTAGTGGAAAAACTCCCAGACTTGAAGTGGATGGTCTTTGATAGCTCTCTGGTCTGAGATAAATCACTTGGTAGTCTGAAGCATCATCCATACTGCAGCAATGATAATAATATGCCCTCACTGTGATTGAGTTAAAATCGACTTGATGGCAATAGGTTTGGTTTGGTTTGACAGTTGTTAGGATTAAACTAAGGGAGATAATGCATATGAAGTTGTATTAACTCTGGAAAAGTATGTAAATATTGTTGTTGTTGTTGTTATGTGCTGTCGAGTCGGACCCAACTCATAGCGACCCCTCCTTAGGTTTCCAAGGCAGTATTACTACGGAAGTAGGAATGCCCAACCTTCCTTCCAAGGAGTGGCTGGTGAGTTTGAACCACCAGCCTTCTGGTTAGCAGTCAAGTGCCTTAGGCACTATGCTACCAGAGCTCCATGTAAATATTAGGTAATAGTTTTTATTTTTAGAATATTTTATACAAATGAAAGACACTTAAATCCTTCTATTGTCATCCATTTGTCTCATGTTCTTGAAAGAACTGTAGGGGTGTTATGTTGTTATATGCATTTTACTTATACTCCTCCAACAAAATTGTATAGCTCAGCTTTAAAACGTATTCTTAATTTAATTTTTCCTCATTATCTGTGAGCTTCTAATCCCACTTGCCTCAGAATCAAAAGCCATTGGTTTTGCTGGTCATTTTCTTCTAAAGTGTACCAAGGGAATTTCCTGGGAGGAAAAAACTACAAAACTTTAATTTTGTGAACATGAGAAATTCTGTTGGTTCCTTTGCACATGACTGACTTTTGTTCTTGATGTTTCAGATTTACTACTGGAAGGCACAGAGTTTATCTAAAAGAAGCAAACGCCACATTGAGAAAAAAATCCTCACTTTTCAAGGCAGCAAGACCCACGGCATGTTACCTGGACTGGATCCCTTTAGCCACTACACACTGAATGTCCGAGTGGTCAATGGGAAAGGGGAGGGCCCAGCCAGCCCTGACAGCATCTTTAAGACTCCGGAAGGAGGTATGCGATGGTCATGTATCTAAGATCTCGGGAATATATAGCACAGCCTGGGAGAGCTCTTTATGACAGTATTTTGGAAAGCAAATGTAATTTTTCTCATAGATGAACATAGCACACAAAGATGGCAAAATGTCAGTTCACATGAGGCCTCAGTGTGTGTGGGGGGGAATATATGGAAGGCTTCAGCACACAAAATGCTATCCTAAGATTCTTTCTCCCTTGACTTAAATTTTTTTTCCACCTTTAGTCACATTACCTAAACCCCATTAATATGATGCTTATTTGAGTCATTAACTTTCTGACCTGGAGCAAGTTATTTTTTGGACAGCAGGCGAGCACTTAACCATTGTGCCACCAGAGCTCCTAGTAAGAAAGATAAGGATTTGAAAAGTTGCCAAGGTGAGTTTTACTTATTTTGAAGTTTGCATCAATCCAGCCATGAAAATGAGCCAGAAAGCCTCTGGATGCCTTAGATCTTTTGATGGGTGCGGCTCACAGATGCACCCTGCCCTGGCTCATCATGGTTGAAGTGCTCATCATGTTGGCAGCTGCCCAATCACCCTGGAGAGACATCTTGTGTCCCAGCTCTCATCCCATTAGTTTCTTGTCCTTGGTCTCCCTGCCTCCTAAGAGGGTTCCTTCCATTTGAGGCTCTCACTATTAGGAACCCACATTGCTCCGTTATGTGGTTCAGGGGAAGATGTCCCAGAAGAGATGAGTAGGATAAAAAGGATAAACCAGAGAGGAAGTAAGTAGTATGCCTGTATGCCTGATTATCGGAAGGTTAAAAAGAGCATGACTCCTTCAAAGAACTGCAATTCATGGGACTAGAAATGATGAGAAAAGAGAGGAAGGTCAACCAGAGAGGACTCATATCATGAATGGCTTTGAATGTTGTGATGTTGACCTGTAGGCCAGAGGCTCTTAATATGGGCACCTAACAAGAACAGTTTCTTAAGGGACAATTAATGGACTTTAAACACTACATGAACTCTCTAAAATTGTGTGCAGAATGTATATATTTTTTCTGGACAGAGTCTGTGACTGTCATCAGTTTCTCAAAGAGGTCTGTGGTCCCCAAAAGTTAAGAATCACTGATTGGGTTGGAGAAACTAAGAAGGGTTAATTCAATGAAATGTTACTGAGTGCCTAGTATATATCAGGCACTTTCTAGGCCCAGGAAAGGTGAATAAGACTGGAGCATTTACTGATAAAGATCAAAGACTATAGCCTTCATTGTGGATTACACTTCAACATAAAGAAAACAAAAATCCTCACAACTGGACTGATAAGCAACATCATAATAAATGGAGAAAAGATTGAAGTTGTCAAGGATTTCATTTTACTTGGATCCATAAACAATGCCCATGGAAGCAGGAGTCAGGAGATCAAATGACATATTGCATTAGGTAAATCTGTTGCAAAAGACCTCTTTAAAGTGTTCATGAGCAAAGATGTCACTTTGAAGACTAAAGTACACCTGACCCAAGCCATGGTATTTTCAGTAGCCTCAAATGCATGTGAGAGCTGGACAATGAATATGGAAGACTGCAGAAGAACTGATACCTTTGAATTATGGTCTTAGCAAAAAATTTTGAATATAATATGGACTGCCAGAAAAATTAACAAATCTTCCTTTGATGAAGTACAGCCAGAATGGTCCTTAGAAGCAAGGATAGGGAAAGTTCATCTCATGTACTTTGGTCTTGTTATCAGGAGAGAGAAGGACATCATACTTGGTCAAGTAGAGGGGCAACAAAAAACAGGAAGACCTTCAATGAGACAGATTGATACAGTGGCTGCTGCAACAATGGGCTCAAACATGGCAGTGATTGTGAGGATGGTGCAGGACTAGGCAGTGTTTCATTCTGTTGTACACAGGGTCACTGTGAGTTGGGACCAACTCACAAACACCCAATAACAACAATGGCATGTCCCAGGAGATGGTGGAAATGAGGCAAGGGAGAACTTCAGGTTGACTGTGGTTTCTGGTCAGATTGAATTAATGAGTCTAGGGAATATGGTCGGAAGGAAGGTTGGGTAATCTACTTCCGTAGTGATACAGCCTTGGCAACCCAAGGAGGGGTCGCTATGATTTGGGTCCGACTTGAGAGCACATAACAATAACAACAGGGAATATGGTAGGCTGGGTAGGGGAGGTAAAGATCATGAGAGAGAGCTGTCACCATTCATCATCCTCATAAGGAAGTAAATAAAAGCAGACCGGGCATGTTTCCTCTGGAAATGTGCCAGACTCTGCCATAGCAAATCTGAGGTCCCTCAGATCTCCCCCAGGGCTAGCCATGTGCCAGCTTTGGGGCTTTTGTTCATCACCAGTGGCTCATGGGCAGCGGTCAGTTCTCAGAGTAAGAACAACTGTGTACCCCAGGCAGGCTGGCTCATGCCCAGAGCCCAGCAGGCAGAGTGCCCTGTTAGGAAAACACTGAGTTTGTTGGGGGAAATGGTCCATAATGGCTCAAAAAATAGCTGCTTCCCCTCAAAGGTTTGGTTAAAATAGTTTCACTTAGTGACTACTTTGCTTTTATTGACACAGTTCATGAAAGAACTAAGTACCTTTAAAATATTTGGTATGAAAACACACAGCCCTGCACAGAAGTGGCTCTTAGGTCCCTAACCAGCTCAGGTGGAGCAGGAAGCCTGGTCCAACTACTCCATCCCTGGTGTTCCTTTGAATAGGGCCTTGCCCCTCATGGTTATGCCCAGAGCCTTTTTTCCAAGGGTGGGCTGGTTGTTGGAATGCTGAAACTGGTGTTGCCCATGGGACAGCCACCACTGTACATTTTTGGGTTGTTTTTAAGCAACTCGATGATGAGGGTCTCATTCGAGGCTTGGGGTGACTGCCAGTTCTTCATCAGAACGGGAGCAACCACTTCTGTCCCCTTCAGCAGCCCCTGCCCTCCAAGCGAAAGCATGGCCTGGCTTTTGTCTTTCCATTTAGTTTTCCTCCTTTTTGTGCTTAATTTATTAAAATAGTTACTGTATAATTCATTCTCATAAAACCAAAAACAAACCAAAGTCACTGCCATCAAGTAGATTCTGACTCATAGCAACCCCCATTGGTTTTCCAAGGCTGTAAATCTTTATAGAAATAGATTGCCCATCTTCCTTCCATGGAGCAGCTGATGGGTTTGAACAGCTGGCCTTCTGGTTAGCAGCCAAATGCCTTATCCAGCATGCCACCAGAGCTCCTTATGTATTCTCATAAACTATAAAAAAAAATTACAAAATACTTAAAATAGACTTGCAGGCCAATCTTAAATTGGGTGGGAGGATCTGAGGGCTGGGGTGGGGAAAGAGAAAGATGTTTTGATATAAACAAATCAAATGCACTTGGAGTATGTTTTGGTATTTTGTGGGGATAGAGGGAATGGATGTTGTGATGTTGCTATAGATCACTTCCAGAATGAGGTCTTTGTATACACTGAGTTAATAGACATGTTTGACTCTCGTAAAGGGGCACTAAGGACCTCTGGGGGCTCAGTACTTAAGGCATCTGACTGCTAACCAGAAGGCTGGCAGTTCAAACCCACCAGCCACTCCTTGGAAGAAGATGGGGCAATCTACTTCCGTAGTGATACTGCCTCGGAAACCCAAGGAGAGGTTGCTATGAGTCAGGTCCGACTCGAGGGCACATAACAACAACAACAAATGCATCTGGAAGGAGCTCTGGTAACATAGTACCTAAGGCATTTGACTGCTAACCAGAAGGCTGGCAGTTCCAACCCACCAGCCACTCCTCAGAAGGAAGGTTGGGCAATCTACTTCCGTAGTGATACTGCCTCGGAAACCCAAGGAGGGATAGCTATGAGTCGGGGCCGACTCGACAGCAAATAACAATGAGAACAACATGTATCCGGAAAAGATGGTTTGAATGAATCTACATGAAAAATAGAGAAAAGAATTGACGGAATGGGCCCATGTTACAGGTTTGTACTGAAGTATTTTCAGCTGAATCAGGAATAAGAATGAATTTTGGAGAGCAAAAACCTTTGAATTGCGTGACTGTGGTAAAATATGTTATTTTAATATGTTATGAGACCTTCACAGAGCATTGTGTTGACTGTGTGTTCTTGTTTCCAGTCCCCAGTGCTCCGTCCTCTTTGAAGATTGTTAACCCTACACTGGACTCTCTTACTTTGGAATGGGATCCACCAAGCCATCCAAATGGCATTTTGACTGAGTACACCTTGAAATATCAGCCAAGTAAGTTAATTGGAAGGAAGGAAAGGGAAAATATGGTTTTAAAAAAACCGTTATCTTAAAAAATTCATTTTGTTTTGTTTTATAATTGTAGTACATATGGTATATATGTATATATATGGTATATATGTCTGTGTGTGTATATATGTGTATATATATATATATATATATATATATATGGTATATATTTATATATATATTTTTTTTCGTGTAATTCTTCTAGAAGGAACTTCAAATTTTATTTTTGAAAGAAAAATTATGGGGAATGTATGTTATTGAAAATTAAGTAATCTCTAGAATATTACAGACCTTTGAGAGTGGAGTTTAGGAGCAAGCTATCATTACAGTAAACCAAAAAAAATCTAAACTCACTGCCATCGACTCTGTTCCAACACATAGCAATCCGTGAGGCAGTAAATCTTCCACCTTACTTCTGCAGAGTGGCTGGTGGGTTTGAACTGCCAACTTTCTGATTACCAGTCAAATGCCTTAGGCACTGTGCCACCAGAGCTCCTTACCATTACAGTAACTAGGCAGTATCTGTAACTAGAAAATGCTAACCAAATGGGTTCCTTTGGCACAGGACCTCTGAAAAAGGAATTTGGGCTCATTTAAAAATATACAACTCCACCTGCAAAAAAACAGAGATAAGAAATGCTATTATGATTCAACAATAAATTTGCCCTACCTTGTAAACTAGTGTCAGCTTTTCCTTTATTACCCCTCCTTGGGTTTCCAAGGCAGTATCTCTAAGGAAGTACATTGGCCAGTCTTCCTTCCAAAGAGTGGCTGCTGGGTTTGAACCGCCAGCCTTCTGGTTAGCAGTCAAATGCCTTAAGCACCACACCACCAAAGCTCCTGTGCCATATTATAGGAATTGTAAAATATTATCACTTAATTGTGTCAGGCAAAACATTAATGGGTTATGAAATTCAGTGTGATCCAGGTTTGACATTTTTAGTTGGCACATGTATTTATAACATTATTCCTATAACAATTCATTGTGAATGCACTTCTTTGTTATTTCTTACTGACAGTTAACAGCACACATGAATTAGGCCCGCTGGTAGATTTAAAAATTCCTGCCAACAAGACACGGTGGACTTTAAAAAACTTAAATTTCAGCACTCGATATAAATTTTATTTCTATGCACAAACATCAGCAGGATCTGGAAGTCAAATAACAGAGGAAGCAGTAACAACTGTGGATGAAGGTAAGATGGGTATGTATAAAATCCACATAAGTATTGTGAAGCAAACACTTCAATTTCAATTTATGCTTTCTCTTTCCTTCTTGTTATGCAGTATGCATCTTACCCAGTCAATTCAAGCACTTATTTGTAAGGTCTCATTCTGATATACTGTGCAAACAATTATTTAACTCATAGTTGGAATAATTATTTGATAGTCATTTTTCAAGTCCAAGTGAAACCTTTAATCTTACATTTAAATATTGAAGTGGGAAATTACATTTTGCCACACTTGAATTCAAAATTCAAAGCAATTTTTTTAAAATCTAGGATTTGATCATTTTATATGTATGTGCGTATATATATGCATGTAGGTAAACACACATATAATACACGTATAAATGCACATATAACATACACACTTATATATTCATAAATATATGTCATTTTATTTCTGGTCCTACTTCACTAGAAAATAATTTGCTAGTTCACATATTGATTTAGGTTTGCTAGCAAGGAAATTGGAACAGTTGTTAAATAGTGCACTTATTTTGTGTTTGAGCAAAGAATTTTATATTTTGGTATTTTATCTGGTACAGAGAAAGCAAAATAGCCCATTAAAGGATCTGAAAAGGGAATTCATATCTCCTTGCATTTAATAGCATTTCTTATCTGTCTGTCTCCTGGGTAGCACTGGGTAATAGCCAACATCCACAATTGGTCGCTTTTGTCATTCCTTGTTTCTCACATCTCTCTGGGTGAGAAAAATTTGTTGGGAGAATGATGCTTGAGTAAATTTAATGTGTCATCCACCTGTGGCAATCATTCTGAAAATTTTCAATTCAATGAAAATGATTTAAAAAAAAAATTGCAAAAGATTTTCTGTTCCTGCATGTCTCTAACTTGTAGAATCCTTAATCCATCTTTCATGGCATAAGAAATGGACATTTCTTCCAGAAAATTGTTTTGAAGTATTCTGAGTCTCCATACATAGTATGCAAGCATGACTCATCCACCTTAAGTACTGTGTGGATTTGATTACTGGGTAGGTTTGGGGGCACCAACCTATTTTTGTCCCCTGTACCTGGGACTTTATTCTTCTTGCATGCTTTAGCATTCTAATAAGTGTTTTTATATTGCTATGCATGCTCATGGGTGTGTTACATCTAACTATATAGTGTCCTATTTCTGTTTCCCTTCATTAAAGCTGGTATTCTTCCACCTGATGTAGGTGCAGGCAAAGGTAAAATAATTAATTTGCATGACTTTATACATGTGTGAAGTTTGCAATGTTAAACATGGGGAAGTGCAGCATGGGTAAAAAAAAAAAAAGGAAAATAAAATATGCTTTGAAACACCAAGTGAAAGATAATAAATGAGAAGATCTTGGCAGATTTAGGCTTTAAAACTAATTTCTAGTCTTTTTTTACAAGTAGGAAGCTACACTTTGAATTCTCCCAAAATATTTTGTTCAAGTTATCCCTGATGCAAAACCTAATCTTAGCTCTGGACAATATGATTGTGGCTGGATCAGACAGGATCAAAACTGGATTTGTCACAGACCCTCTGTTTGAACATACCACATAGGACCAGTCACTGTAGAGTCAGTTCCCACACAGCAATCCCATGTTTCTCTGAGTAGAACTATGCTCCATAGTGTTTTCAGTGGTTCATTTTTCAGAAGTAGATTGCCAGAGCTTTCTTCTGAGGTGGACTTGAACTTCCAACCTTTAGGTTAGCAACCATTTGCAGCACCAATTAACTGACATGATATAGGCAGCTCGTGAAATCACATCAACCAAGCTCCCTATTCTAATCTGAACTAGCTGCACTCTTCATAGACACAGCGTACATTCTGCTGGCATTACATTACACTGTCCATTTGGAACTTCAGTTTAGCAATACCCTACAACTGGCCTGGAACAGAAACAACCCACTGGGATCCCCTAGGAGCGAGTCTTCCCGTCAGCCTGCATGCTCCCCTCAATTGTGTTGTTCCATCCTGTCTTCGCTAAATGCTCAAGTCTCCTCCTGGGTAGCACTGGGTAATAGCCAACATCCACAATTTGTTGCTTGTGTCCTTCCTTGTTTTTCACAACTCTCTGGGTGAGAAAAATTTGTTGGGAGAATGATGCTTGAATAAATTGTAATGTGTCTTCCACCTGTGGCAATTCTGGTGTGCCTACAATCTTTGATCCTTGGCTATTGGTTGAGAGGTTACCTTCTTAGGGAGCAGGATAGCCCCACCACAGAGTACTGTTTTCACATGGAGCACAGACAGTGCTCAGGTAACGAACGTCAACTTAACATACAACCCATTGTTACCAACCACTGTAAAGCCTATTATGTTAAAAATCTGAGGTGCATATGATTCAAGGTTCCTAATAACAAATGGGCACTACTTTGTGACACACATCAAAACATTATTATTATTATTATTACTGAATTATTATGTTAAAGGTGCTTTAGTATATCTGGAAGTGTGTGTTTAATATTTTTTATACATAGAAATGTGCACTATATACTATATACTAACGCACACATTTGACTAACTAACATTAGATACAGACTAAACTGTTCGGATTTACGTACAAACTCTACTTAAAGACAGGCTTAGGAACAGAACTCGTTTGTAATCCAGGGACTGCCTGTACCTGTGGTCAGGGGTGTTCTTGACAGACTAAAAGAATACAACAAGAATTTAAAAAAAAAGAAGACAAAGAGAAATAAGCGCTTTGTCCTAAATTATTCAAATCTTGTGAGCTTATGCCTGAGACATTTCTTCAATTTCCTAAAAAATGTGTATTTATTCTATGCATATTTATTCTAGTATACATTCTATATGTTTATTCTATATATAAACAAATATCTATTGGTTTACTTTTAGAGTCTTAGTAAATTGTAAAATGCAGATTAAATAGATTTTGGGGTGACTAAATTAGAACTGTAGCTGTTTTCAGTAATCTTCATAATAAATTACATACGTGTTTTTTTAGCCTTGTTAGGACAAAGTTGTAACAATTCCATAGTACTGTAGAAAGAAGTAAGTCTTTCTTTTATAGGTCTTCTTCTCCTTGGGATAATTATATATAAATTAAAATCCTTGGTTGTTTTACAGTCATTTCCTGCTATGTTCCCCTATAACTTTTAATGGCTAAAGTTACAGGGAGCAAAGTAGCTTGGCCTCTTTTCCTGTCTCAGTCAACAGGTCACTGTGGCTGTGCTTAGAGCCAATAGCAGAGCTGCATGAAGCAAGTTTACACTTTAAATTGACTTTTCATTTTAGAAGAGCACATATATTCCACTGGAAAAAGACATCACCCCCTGTTTTTAACTAATTAAAAAGAAAATCTTTATTAAAACAGGTTAGATTTTACTATTTAATCTCACCAAATTGAATTGTGAATCACTTAGGATTTATAAACCCATTGCCGGCAGCTCTGGTGGCATAATGCCTAAGGCATTTGACGGCCAACCAGAAGGCTGGTGGTTCAAACACACCAGCCACTCCTTGGAAGAAAGGTTGGGCAATCTACTTTCGTAGTGATACCACTAGGAAACCCAAGGAGGGGTCACTATGAGTCAGATCTGATTTCACAGGAGTTTGGTTTTGGTTTTGCCATTGAATCAGTTCTGACTCATGGTGACCCTATAGGACAGAGCAGAACTGATGAGGGTTTCCAAGGCTGTAATCTTTATGGAAGCAGATTGCTACATCTTTCTCCCACGGAGCCGTTTCAGGCCTAGGATTCTAGGAAAATTGACAATAGACCTACGAGAGCATCTATAAAAATGAACTTTCTAGCACACAGATATTGGGCAAATCTGTTGCAAAAGACGTCTTTAAAGTGCCAAAGAGCAAAGATGTCTCTTTGAAGGTTAAGGTGCCCTTAACCCAAGCCATGGTATTTTCAATCACCTCATATGCATGTGAAAGCTGGACAATGAATGAGGAAGATCAAAATGCTTTTGAGTTGTGGTGCTGGCTAAGAATGCTGAAAGTACCATAGACTGCCAGAAGAACTAAGAAATCTGTCCTGGAAGAGGTACAGCCTGAATGTTCCTTGGAAGCAAGAATGGCCAGACTTCGTCTTACCTACTTTGGTCATGTTGTCAGAAGAGATCATTCCCTGGAGAAGGGTATCGTACTAGGTCAGCGATGGAGGGTCAGCAAAAAAGGGAGAGGCCCTCAACAAGATAGACTGACACAGTGGCTGCAACGATGGGCTCAGGTATAGCAAGGATTGTGAGGCTGGCGCAGGACTGGGCAGTGCTTCGTTCTGTTGTACACGGGGTCACTGTGAGTCGGAGCCAACTCGATGGCACCTAAAACACCACCACTACCACATAGATAATGGACTGGAATTATGGGCCATAGCATTTTACTCTTTCTTGGGACCAACCATCAGAACAATTTATGCAGTGACTAGTTAAGGTGCAGGGAGCTCTGGTAGCATAGTGGCTAAGGCACTTGATTGCTAACCAGAAGGCTGGCAGTTCAAATCCACCAGCCACTCCTTGGAAGGAAGGTTGGGCAATCTACTTCCGTAGTGCTGCTGCCTCAGAAACCCAAGGAGGGGTCACTATGAGTCGGGTCCGACTCGAAGGCACATAACAACAACAACAAAGTTAAGGTGCAGGAATAGGGGAAAATAGGCAGGATCTGGGTAGAACAGGGAGAAACCAAGTTGCTAGACAGGAACTGAACCCAGAATTGTGACCTAATTAGCAGGCTGCTGTGTTCAAGCAGTTAGGGCTGAGAGCAGGAGGCATTGAGGGGCAGGCCACATAGCTAGATACCCAGAGTTGTTGGTCCTACTGCTACCAGTGAGGTCAAGAAGCAAGGAAAAGTTAAAGAACCAGTAAATCATATAAAGTCCACAACTGTTTTGGCCTGAAGAAAAAAATAAAGAAAAGGGAGAAAGGAAATTTGCATAGAAGATTCAAACAATTCAACAGTAAATACTTATCTGGCACATAAAATACATTAACCTTAGGCCCTGACTCTGATGTGCTCAAATATGACAGAAAGAACCAGCACATAAAAAGAGCAATAGATGATAAACTAATACCCTGAACAAAATTCCGTCACAGCATAGAGGAATGAACCATTTCTTTTACCAAACAGGGCTTTGTGAAAACACTTCACAAAGAAAGTAATTTTGAACTGGGCCTTAAAGGACAAACACAGTTTTTGGTGAGTGGAAGAGTGCGACATAAATTCCTGACAGAGGAGCAGAAGCAAAGACATGGGGTTTGAAAACCCTGAGAATGCTTGGGTTACATGCAACAGTCCAGGTAGAGTGTGTGTGGAAAGAAGAACCAGATGTAACTGAAGATGTGGACAGAGTCAGATGTGAACAGCCCTTCACGGCCATGAGTGCTGCGCTGAGGAACTTGGGTTTACCTGTGGCCAGAGGACAGCCATTCAGGTTTTAAGGAGGGAAGTGACAAAATTAGATTTGTAGTTTAAGACCTACCTACATGCTGCCTACTCAGACAAAGATTTATAATAGGGAGAGAGCCTGGAGCCAGACTGCTGGGAAAGCCTAGACCTAGTGGTCCCTTTATCTGTCATATTATTTGTTCATGAGTAAGAAGATAGATGCATGGGAATTACAAAGGAAGTTAGAATTCTCTATGATACTAAAGTGGCCAGACACTATAACCAAAAAAAAAAAAACCCAAACTCATTGCCGTTGAGTGGGATCTGACCCATAGCGACCCTCCACTATAATAGAAGGAAATTGGGATGTCATCTCTGAGTGTCTTTAACAATAATCTAAATACTCTTCTGTTGAAAGTATTTCACCATGGTTCTGCCTCGAACATCTGCAATTATTCCAGGACTAATTGCTTGAGTTCCATGATTCCAAAAGTTTTTAGAGAAAATTAGTGCTTTGCCTGAGTTCTTCCCCACCAATGTTTTACACACAAGTACATATTTACTGTTTCTGTTGACTGATCATATTCCTATCATTATCTATATCTTTATAGGAAAATTTCATTTAACTAAAGTTAATTAGGTTAATTAACAGAAGTTAATTAGAGGATTTGGCTAGTTCAGTACTCATTTTTGCTCTATGCTGTTTTTCTGTGTTCAGTACAGACGGACACACAGGTATACATGTGCTATCAAATTATATGCCAGGGATCAAGTCCATTATTATAATTTCTTTAATATATTTCTCTTTTTGATCCTAAAAAATGCTATTTCATTACATTTATTTCAGTAGAAATCTTTAGCTTCTAAAATTATATGAACATATTACAGAATTTAATTTTAAAATCTGAGTAAACCCATTGACACTTTCTGATTTACTATCCTAGGATTTTTTTACTTCTGGGATGTTGAATTGGCTTTATCATTTATTTTAACTATCCAAATCAACATGTCTATAAATATCTTATTTTCAGTTTAGGCTATTGAGGTAAAATTGAATTGTCAGCCTCAGAAATTCAAATAATGTTTTCCAATGACTTTAGATGTCATCTTTACTCAAGGGTGAGCAGATAGCATCATATAGTTGGTGTTTTAAGAAGTTGTTTAGGTTGCACTATTATTTCTCAGAATATGATGAGCAACGAATACCTAACAGGTAAGATCGTCTTGCTCTTTTGGGTGTGTTGAGTGAAATAGTTCTTATTCCTTTTATTTCTTCTTTCTTATTGTCTTTAACATATCAAATATGTTAAAGAATATTTGGTGATTCATTTTGCAACTTCTCTTCCAGCATATCCCAACCATCCAACATTCTCTAAGGCAGAAGTTCCTCACATAGGGTCCAAGTACACCCAAAGCCAGATTCTCAAAGAAGTCTATGACTCAACACAGGTCAAAAACCACTAGTCTAATGAGCTTTCCTTCTCACCACAACACAAACTCTTTAAAGACTCACACTGAGATGACAAATAGAATTAAGAAGCAGCCACATAGTATTGGGTTTTACCTTGCTGTCTCATACTCTGTGACATCTGTCCCCAGTATCTGTCAGCAATTCCCCTCCTGTTGTATGTCAATAAACAAAAACTGGGGTGTTTCCTGGAACTCTACCTACTGGACAACAGTTGATGTTATTTGGCCTCATAAAATACTACTCATAAATTTTAATAGTATATATCATTATCTCTGATTATTAATTTCTTTCCTAATTTAGTAAATGAAAAAACTTTCTGTAATGAAAGTGAAGCGTGAGTGAACTCTAAATTCCAGTGGTAAATTCCAACTTAATTTTTCATGCCATAGTTCAGAGTATTTAAACTTATATTTGTGTGTATGGTGCTTCAATTTGACTGTTTATTTGCTTTATGTTTCTATTGTATATTTAGTTCAAGCAGTAAAGCCCAGGATCAGGAATCTTACTGTCGCAGCTGCTGAGACCTATGCCAGTGTCAGTTGGGAATATGAGGGACCAGAGCATGTGAACTTGTATGTTGAATACGGTGTGGCAGGCAGTAAGAAACAATTTCATTACCCAGTTGTTAATTTGGGGGATACATTGCAAGAGATTAAGAACATTTTTAAGGATTTGCTGTGGATCATCCTGAAAAATAGCTTAAACCAGTTAAATGATTCAGATTTATCTGAAAAATTACAGTGAACAATCAGCCTGTCATTTTACACATAACTAGAAAAACGTTTTTTCGTATTATTGAAAACAAAGGAGAGAATAAGTTCAATTTATAAGTTGTTTACCTATGATGACACTTAAAAAGTGGTTCTAAAACCCCCACATGTTAAAATAATAATAGTAATAATGAGTAATTATACTTATCAGTGCAATAGAAAAGAAGAAAATTTTATTCAAATTGTACTGGAACTCAAACAGCTGACTTGAAAGTAGTCATTTTTCCCAAAATATGCACCAGCATTTTACTAGAACACCCAGAGAATTAACACTTTGGGGAAGCAGAAATTGTGCTTCTCTGTCTGATACATTCCCCAGCCCAGGACTCTGCTTACATCCTGGTCACATTCACCAGAGGACAGGGAAGCTTTCATTTCCAGCAGTTTATGGAAACCCATCTCCCCTTCCTTAATGTAGAGGGTCCTGCATATTATAAGGTGGGTGCTCAGTCAATGTTTGTGACAAAATGTTGAATACAGTGCAATTTTCTGTTTAGGCCTTTATCGTGCACATAAATATTTTTTAGAAATAACTTTCTTTTTAGGAAGACCATTACTTGGCAAATGTTGAATCTGTAAGTTGGATAAATTTGGAGGCATTTAAGTTTACCAAAGGATTCATCCTGTGCATCTTAAAAAAATAATTCTTCCCATAATTCATTTGAACTATTTAATGCATAATAGTTATTTTTATAAGCATCTTCACAAACTCAACGCTTTTATAAGGCAATATGCAGATTAAAAAGCTTCCTTTGTATTAAAAATAATATTCAATCCAATGAAAGTATATGCAATTTATATGTAATCTGAATATCCAGTCGATTTTTCTTTGAGGATGTTTTCATGTCATTCTTCATTTTAATTGATTTATTGATATGACTAGATTTGTCATAAACTGAAATAATGAGCCTAAGTAGTCTAGATTTCATCTTTTGCTCATAAAGAAATTTTTTCTTTATTGAAGCATTAAACTGACATCCGGTCCCTTAAAATATTCAAATTTCTTGTTTTTGCAAAATTTCCATAGGCAAAGAAGAATGGAGGAAAGAAATTATAAATGGTTCTCGGAACTTCTTTGGGTTAAAGGGTCTAATGCCAGGAACAGCATACAAAGTTCGAGTTGGTGCTGAGGGGGACTCTGGTTTTGTGAGTTCAGAGGATGTGTTTGAGACAGGCCCAGGTGAGGCACGCACCACACCAGTTCTGGCTCACGCTTGCAGATGGAAGCCATCAAGTGCTCCAATCTGAGATGGGCCTTGTAAGAACTGTGTTATGGTGTAGGCCATGAATGTCGTTCTATGTGGTTCTGTTGGGTTGGGAGTGTTGGTTTTTCATCGTCTTTGGCTCTGTATATCAAATGAATTACAAAATAAGCAAATAATCTTCTAACCACATTCTTGCCAAAAACAGAAGTAAATACGATTTTTAATTTACATCATTTAGGTAATTCCATTTCTCATATCCTTTACCTTGGTTAAACTGCCCCTCAGAGATAAAATGGAATTTTTGAAATGCTTTTGAAGCTGAAGTAAATCTCACTGATAAAGTCAAAATTTTTCAATTGAAAATGGACTATCACCCATCAAAACGTGCAGTTCATACAATACCTGATGGAACTATCCTTAAATTTGTATGGAACAAGGAATTGTACAATTCATCTATTTCTTTTATCGTACCAAATTTGACTACCTTTATGCATTTTAGTGATTCGATCATTATCAAAATAGACAAATTGAAATTAAAGTTCCTGAAATAAAGAAAAGTGTCTATATCAAATACAAGAATATCCATATTTGCTCACAAGATTGAAGACAGTCCCTGCTAATTTAAATTTAAACAAGGGTTGTGTGGTGCATGTTCATTTTGTGGTTCTTACACCCATGTTATGTCCAGTCACTTCTTCATTCTTGAGGAAATGTTGTATATCCTGCACAAGCAAGATGTATTTTTCATGTCTTACATTTCCCAAGCATTATGATTTTTAAAGTCGTTTCTTATCATTTATAGATTTAAAAAAAAAAAGAAACCAAAAGTAATATTCAATAACTTATTGAACACTGTATGTTAAAAATATCCATTTGCTAAAATCATAATGTTTTAAGAAAACATTTTTTTCTGTTATTCTGTTTCTGTTTTTTGTATTCATTTGTGTCAATCGTTCTGGGAAAACACTGCATTAAACTTAGAAGGGAAATAGCTGATCAATTTATGGTTATTATTACAAAGTTTTTGTTATTATTGATAGCTTTTAGTTTCAAAATACTAAAAGCTCAAGTGGATACCTTGTTCCTATACAGCTGGAATGCTGTAATAGTAACAGGACTAACATGTTGTGTGTTCCACTCTATACCAGATGAATACTTTTAGTGGATTTTCTCATTCAGTCCTGACAACAATCCTGTGAAGTAGACACCATTATTTCCTCATTTGCATCACATGTAAATACTCTTAGAGAGGTGGAGTACCTGCCCAGGTCACCCAGCTAGAACGTGGGAACCGGTTGCCATCGAGTTGATTCTGACTCATGGCAACCCCACACATTCCAGACTAGCACTGCAGCCCATAGGGATTTCAGTGGCTGGAATCTTACAGAAGTAAGAATCTTCCAGTTTACAATGTTCTATCTTTCAGGGGAAAGGAGCCCTCGAGGCACAGCAGTTAGGTGCTGGGCTACTAATCATCTTCCATGGCACTTCTGGGTAGATTGAACACCAACTTTCAATTAGTAGGAGAGAGCATCATACCACTGAGGAACTTCTAGAATGTAGGAGAGCTGGGATTAGCAGCTAAGTGTTCCAACACAAGAGCAAAGGCTCTCCCCACACCCACAGTAGAGGGTCACAGAGGCCCATGCCCCAAAGGAAGCAGGTTGTCTTGGAAATGACCACTTCAGGCAATACTTGATAGAACTTTGCTATTCTGAATCCCTAAAGGCCCCATCCAACTTGTATGCCCAACTTGCAGGTCTAGCTAGAACTAGACTCACCCATAAAATCAAGTTGTAGCATTTTTTGGTCCTTCTAGTGAACCAAAAAAAAAAAAAAAAACCCATTACATTTTTTTTTCTCTCCTCAGTGCTGTTATATCCTCAATTCCAGCAGCAGCTTCCAGGTAGTTTGAGTGGAGTAATTGAAATAGATATCCTATTCCTACATGCCAGTGATGGAGAAATAGGACAAAGATACAACCAGTTATTATCTCTTCTTACTTATAAATGTAACTAATAGAAAGATATCATAAATATTGATTAAACCCTAATGACTTGAGGTTAACCTCTGTGAACAAATCCTGTCAGCATTCTAGAATGCCTCCGGTTAATGTTAATCCACTCCATTGCCCCATTGTCTTCCAGTTTACAATGTTCTATCTTTCAGGGAAAAGGAGCCCTCGAGGCACAGCAGTTAGGTGCTGGGCTACTAACCAAATGGTCAGTGGTTTGAACCCACCAGCCACTCTGCAAGAGAAAGGTGAGGCAGGCTGCCTCTAAAATGCACAGCCTTGGAAACCCTGTGGGGCAGTTCTATTCTGTCCTATAGGGTCCCTATGACTTGGAATTAACTCGATGGCAGTGGGGCTTTAATTCTTCAGGGCTGCCAGATGGACTTCAGTGGGAAAGCATTGTCTTCTACCATCTTGTTCCTCGTCTCCTCCACTCTAGGTTTTGAAGTGTAAGAGTGTCAGTAATTGCTCTGAAAGCCTAGCTTTCTGGCTAATTGTTTAACTCTCTGCATTAATAATCTACTTCTCTCTCTCTCTGAGTTCTGCTAATTTTAGGAACCCAGACTCAACTTTATCTATGCTTACTTCACAAATCTTTTTAACATGACACCACTTCTGCCTTTTTATAGTCTGGGTTTTTCGATCTATTCCTTAACTTTTTTCCTATGGTGCTAACTGAAAAACAAATCAAACACGACTATAAGCCAAACCAAACTCACTCCATTGAGTAGATTCTAACTCAGAGTGACCCCCACTGGGTTACCGAAGCAGCAAATCTTTACAAAAGTAGATGGCCCCATCTTCCTTCCAAGGAGTGGCTGGTGAGTTTAAACCACCAGCCTCTGGTTAGCAGTCAAGTGCCTTAGGCACTATGCTACCAGAGCTCCTTAGACAAGACTGTAGGTGGTGTCTTAATGCTGCGCTCACCCCTGCTCTGGGTAGGACCTCTCATCTAATGCCACCGCACCTCCTTTCTTTCCTTCCTTACTCTTTCTCTCCATCACTACATCCCTTCTTCCGTCATATCTCAAAGATGTTAAAGCAGACTGGTTTTTATCAGGCACAACAGATTTTTTGTCAACTGCCTCCAAACATTGGCCATGGGTTTTCCTCCTTTCTAAATATTGCTATTTGATCTAAACAGGAAGTTTTTGTACATAGTAGGTTTTTCACAGATGATGTAGTAAGAACAAACAGCCATTTCTCTCACCTTGTCTCCTCTGTGTTTATTAGATCTGCTACCACGGAATGCAGGTTTTATCTACCATAATCCAACTGGCAAGGTTGTGTCATAACAGAGCAGAAGGCTGTTGGTAAAACCCAATTTCTAGAAACAAAGCAAATGTAATACCTCTAACTTGTCTTTTTTTTCAAATTCCTTGTATGTATTTGTTTGTTTGGTTGATTGCTTTATGTATTAGGAAGTAATAAACCAAATTCATTGACATCTATTTGATTCTAACTTATAGCAACTCTGTAGGACAGAGTGGAACTGCCCCATAGGGTTTCCAAAGCCATGTATCGTTACAGAAGCTGATTGCTTCATCTTTCTCCTATGGAAGTGGCTGGTGGGTTCAAACCACCAACCTTTTAGTTAGCAGCAAGCATTTTAACCTCTGCAGAACCAGGGCTACTTAAGTAATAATACATGAATATAATTTTATTCTAAAAATTACAGATAAAGTCAAGATCCTTTTCCACTCTCTTACTCAATCCTAATTCCCACCCACTGAAACTTGGATTCAAGGAGGAAAAGCCCCATTCACTGTGTGTGTGTGTGTGTGTGTGTGTGAGATGCATGATAGAGCTCATGACTTGAGTTTGTGTGTATATCTTCATAAAGTAGTTAAGATCATAGAGTGTCCTGTGACAATTTAAGCTTCTTAGAGTCATTCTGGTCTTTAGCTCCCCTCTTATATGGAAGTCAATAGAAGTTGTTCTTTTCCCTTACACAGTTTTTGTTTTATATCAAACATATAAACACCAGGGAGCTTATATGTTTGATATAAGTGCCTAAGGCATTTGACGGCTAATCAGAAGGCTGGCGGTTCAAACCCACCTGCCACTCTTCAGAAAGAAATCTATTTCTGTAGAGATACCACCTCGGAAACCCAAGCAGGGGTCACTATGAGTCTAATCTGCTCAAAGGCAGTGAGTCTATCGAACATATATACTCATGTGTGTGAATGTATGTGCACAAACATGCTTGCACCCATGTTAATACATTGTGCCTGCCTCGTCTTAAATATGATATTGTAATATGGTAGTGAAACATTTTTTTTTTTTTTTCCTCTTTAGGCATAGAGGCAAATTTCATAGTCTTCATAGTTGCAAGCTGCCAACCAGCAGTTCAGTTGGGTGGTCACCATCTTTGCAGGATAATGTCTGTGCTAGGGCTCAACTAGCCTGCCCTTATCAGTTAGATCTAATTAGATGAAAAACCTAAGGGTTGCTACTATTGATGACAAGGCTGTCTGTCATTAACACCCTGAAAACTAGGATACTCATGTCAATCAAATGCTCATTAGACTGACATCAGTTTTGAGGAAAAAGCATACAAAGACCATGCTTGAAGTGATACAAACATATTGCCAGAGTATGTCATGATGGATTTTAAAAATATGCTCACTTTCTCAGAATGGAAGGTCCTCAACATTTTATCCTTTGTTCAGACTGTTATAGATTCCATGTCTAGACATGTTTTCAGGAATGCATGATAGCAATAGAGCACAAGGGCTAGTAATGGATCAAATCCCAACTTTTGTGCAAGTTATTTTCCTTCTCTGAGGTTACACTCTTTGGATTTGCTCCTGACATCTACTTCACAGGACTGTTGTAACAATAAAATGAGATTATTCCCACAACCCAGGGCCTAGCATGTAGTAAGAGTCCAAAAATGTTAGCTGTCTTCATTGTTGTCATTGTCTTCATCTTCATCACCATCATGATTATCATAGGATGTGTATGGAAGTGGGGAACTACCTACCTCGTGCTTCAGTTATACCTGGTTATGATGCAACTCAAACCCCCACAAAGAAAGCACACAAAATGGAGGCACAGGGGATTGCTTGGGAAACACTGTGGTATCAGATTTGTTTTCAAGAAATGTGGTTCCAGTTCTCCTAATTCCTTTTAATAACACACATACACATATTTCTCACATTCTTTTCCACACATCATTTCAAACATTTCCTTTTTCTCCCTACACTGTGTAGAGAAGAAGAAGGTAATGAAGTGCTATTCTTGCAACATCTAACAGAACTTGGGATACATACCACCATACTTCTCCATCCAGAGAACACATCCGCCTGACACAACCATGTTAAATGTATTCAGAAGAAACTCGGTCAAATTGAGCATGATGTAGACATGCTTATGAAGTCAAAATAAGACTTTTTACCTTGAGTAGATTATTGTCGAAAAAGAAAAAATAAAGGCCCTTTAAAATTGATTTCATACTAATTTATTTAAACAAATCCTCATGGGAGTGTCTGAACAACTATTGATGCTGCACTTTGTCCCATTTCTCTTTGAGTGACACTTTTCAATGATACCAGATATGCTAATTCTTCAGTGGTTTTCTAAGGAGATTTGCAACTTTGACTGGTTGATAAAGGGCTTTACATTTATCTGCTTAAATGAAATAGGTGAAGACATCGAAAATATATACATCTGAATGAGGATTTTCCCTTCAAACGGATCACTTCGTCCAGTCATGCCCCATGCGTCCCTTGATCAAGAAATATTTTAAAGTCTTTTGAATGGATTCTAAGTAGTAACAAATACTGATCCTTTGAGGATGTTTTGATTTTTCAAAAATTTCCAAAAGTTATATAGAACCAAGTCTTATAAAAGGAGATAAGTAACAAATGAGATGAAAAAAAAAAAACCAAAACAGTTTGGGTGCAATTTGAGATGTTTTAAGAAACAATAAGGCTGGTTCTCTTGTGTGAAGAGTTTTCTTTTTGAACAAAGGATTTTCCAAACATTTTGAAAAATGACATTATTCCAATGCTATTTTAACCTCCAAAAGTGGTTCCTTTGAAGGAAGAATACTCCATTATATGTATGCATCCTGTTCTGTTTAAAATTCAGTGTTATATTCTTATCATTGTGTTTAGCATTGTAGAGTTTATCCTATCAACAGTAAAATTTTTGTTGGTTTGGGAATATGCTTATGTGGAGAATGCATAGTTAACATATGTAATACAGAACTGTGAATATACTTGTGGCAAGATTTGTTAACATTGCACGTCATTAGCAATTCAGGTTTCTGTATTTTAAAAACCTGAATTTTTAATTAATGAAAAATTTTCAGAATTAAATAGTTACATAACTCCTGATTGGTAACTGGCAGGTTCCAATATGGGACTGAGTATAAAATTCATAAAAATGCATATGCTGAGGCAATGTTTTATTACCAGGGACTATTACAGTTCCATCTCCTCCTTGACTCATTCCCACCAACACTGTTCATTTGTTTTCCAGCAATGGCAAGCCGACAGGTGGACATTGCAACCCAGGGCTGGTTCATCGGCCTAATGTGTGCCGTCGCTCTCCTTATCTTAATTTTGCTAATTGTTTGCTTCATCAGAAGAAACAAGGGTGGCAAATATCCAGGTAAGGAAAAAATATTAAAATTGCTTTATAATGCTGCTTAATTATCCATTAAACTGAAAAGAAATTAGGCATGTAATCATGTACACTGCTGCAAGCGTATCTTCCCAAAACCATGAAATTGCACTTGCTGTTCAAACAAGTTTTGATCCCTTTTTATATTATACACAACCTAAACATTGTCATCAAAGATCATAAGGCACTGGAGGAAATAAGTCAATCCATTCTTTGAAGATATTAGTGACTCTATTTCGTTAGGTTCCAATAAGTCATGGATGCCTAAGTAGCACCTGAAAGCAACTGGGGGAAGAGGGAAGTACATGATGTCTTCCCAGAGGAAGTAATGCATGAACTGTGTCTTGATGGTGTGACATACGGCATTACTTTCCTTCAGCTTAGTGGTTTGTGCTGTTTCGTTGGTTCAGTGAATTTATATCATTTTAATCTGGCCGTTTTCCTTTAGCTATAATTAAAAAAAACCTGCAAAAGGACAGACTTACAAAAACAATGTGTAACCATTAATATAGTTAATAAATAGATTGGCAAAATCTGAGGGCAGAGAATCTTGGACACTTAAAACTTATGTTTTCATCAGGTAAGTAGGAGAGTGGGCCAAAATGCTTAAAAGAAGTCAACTTCATTTGTTAACAAATGATAAAATGCACCAAAGTAATGAAGACATCAAAATATGTGCATGGCTACATAATACATATATGTATGATTATGTAACATTGGCTGTGTATAAGATTATTTTCCACTGCCATATATTTCCAAGACTGAGCTCTTAAGATCTTTGAATAAGGAAGTGCAGGGACAAAAGATAACAATGCCATTTTGAAAATTTTAGTGAAAGAAAAGGAAGATGCTCATGCCGACCCTGAAATCCAGCCCATGAAGGAAGATGATGGAACTTTCGGGGAATACAGGTTAGCCGTGGCTTCTCATCTGCCCCTCCCTTCTCTGCTACCAGCCACTCTCCGCACAGTAAGACCCAGCTAGGAACATGCTCTGCCCAGCACATGACACTTACCTCAAATCTGTCATAAATTTCATTTGGGAACACTTTCATGTCTAAATGTTTACACCTCCCTCATAGTTAACATTTTCACTTTCATTTTAAAAAAAAATAGATTTCCAGCTTAGTCATAGTCTTGGGAGTGGAGTGTTTTCCAGCCTGTCATATTTTCTAGGGCCCCTTACTGTACTGATCAACCTAGTGAAATAACAATAAAGACCCTACAAACCCCACATATTATGAAGGAAACAATACTTGTCATTTCTAAGCAATGCTTTTAGCCTGTGTTAACAATCTTTCTAATTCTGGATTTGAAGCTAGTTTTTCAAAAACAAATGCCCATACCATTGCCCATTACTTATAAAATGATGACTAGGCTGTTTTTGCTTTAGGTTGCTGTAGAAGCTAATTATTAAGAAATATTGCAGCCCTCTAGACAATGTATTAACTCACGGAACTTGGATAATACAGTCTTGGCTTGGCTCCATCATTATAGAAGTATTTTAACATGACCTGAGTGCTAAATAGTAAAGAAAAAAAAAAAAAAAAAAACTCTTTAAGCAAAGATATTTTGCCTAGGTATTGCAGGTCTTTTCAGAGATTAGTGATTATTAGGTATGTTTAAGCACAGAAACAAATCATTTATTTATTTATTTAAAAGATTAGGACTTGAGTGTTCAAAGGATTCTTCTATTAATAAATGCTTTTACACCTGTTTTTTTCTTTCTATAAGCCTCTTGATTATATAAAATATAATCTTTTACATTTACACTGAGTCCAAGTGGAGGCTTTCTTTTTTTGCCAGAGGAAAAGGCTTTTAGGTGAAATAAAATATTTCCCTATTGTGATTGCCAGATAACATTTATAGATAATAAAATATTTGTGTTACTTTTCACCTGTCTCTAGAGCTCATTTTTGGTATTTCCATTTTAATATCATGAGGCGTGAAATAATGCCCAACAGAAAAATAGAACTAATTGAGGAAAAACCATAGATGTTCAACAAAATTGGCTTCATACCAGTTTCCACACAGATACAAGCATTCTGCTTTGGTGTCTCAGCACCTAAGCCTTCATTTCAACAGAGATGAGCGTGGTTTCTAAAAATTCTCAGAATTTCTGTATCTCACGATACAGAAAAACGTCTAGGAAGGGTTGTCTTGATGTCAGATATGGAGTCTGAGGCTGACAATGCATGAAAACACCTCATCCAGTCCAAAGGTTTCATCACACAGTAGAGTAGCCTGGAAGATACCCACAGCCTAGAGCATCTGTGTCTCACACTAGGTGAGTGGAGACCATCACTGATTTAATTCTCTTTTCCAGACATTTCTCTTATATAGCAGGTCATTTGGTAGTTATTACATAACTTCTTATTTTTAGAATTCTTGTGGCTAGAAATGTATGCAAGATATGCACACCACTCCCTTATTTATAGGAGCTCTGGTGGCGTAGTCCCTAAGGCACTTGACTGCTAACCAGAAGGCTGGCGATTCAAACCCACCAGCCACTCCTCAGAAGGAAGGTTGGGCAATCTACTTCTGTAGTGATACTGCCTCGGAAACCCAAGGAGGGGTCGCTATGAGTCGGGTCTGACTCAACGGCAGTGCGTGCCCTTATTTATTGCGATGAAACTGCATTTTTATTATAGCCTAGAACATTATGTACTCATGTGGTGCATTTCATACATTCACCACACAGTGACAGGGCCCTCTTCTACCTGATCGTGCTTAAATGCATCTGGCAATGTACTGCTCACTTCGTGAGTGTCAAATATCAAGTTGCTATTACAGCAATTTGAAACCATGATCTCATGTAAATGTTATTTTCTTAGGATAACTATACTACTAACTTCATTAAAACCTGATTTGAACTACCTTGGAATCGAGACACAGTTACTTTGCTCTCAACTCAGGCATTATTCTGTGGTTCCTTTAGCTATGACACTGAATTTCTCTAGATCCCAATTTTTTCATCTATAAACTGAGCCAGTTATTCACATGGTAGATGATCGCTCAAGGTTTCTCTTCTAGTTCTGTGATTTCAGTGGTCCTTTACAAGCCACCTACTAACAACTCTTACTGTGAGTTTGGGTCCCAGAGTAGTATATAGCAAGTAGTTGGTTACAGGCCTCATGATCATTGTGTTTATGTCTATTTGCTCTTTTTTTTTTCCTACTCAGTGTTAATTCATATGAGATATGTTTGTGAAGTGTTTTCAAATATCTGTCTTTAATTTATGCTTTGAGTTTCTCAGGAAAGACTTAATTTGGGCCCACTGAGTGCAATCCAATTGGTTTATGTGTAAAGACAAAAACATTTAATCATGCTTATGATTACATTGATCAGGGAGGTGTCAGGGGAAATAAGGTTCGGAGTAGTGTTTTAAACTTGAAACAGAGCTCAATGATTTTTTTTTTTTTTTTCAAATGAAGTTAAAAGATTCATAAGGACAATTCCACAGTGAATCAATTCCCCAAATTCCCAGCCCCTCTTTGTTACCCATGTGGCTTTGTCCTGTGACTGCCAGATACTATCTCAGGGTATTTTTCTCTTTGGATTCTTTACTAGTTAAAGAATTCAGAAGGCTTTTAATTTCTTAAAAAACGCACTGCCGTTGAGTCGGATCTGACTCATAGCAGCCCCTCCTTGGGTTTCCGAGGCAGTATCACTATGGAAGTAGATTGCCCAGCCTTCCTTCCGAGGAGTGGCTGGTGGTTTTGAACCGCCAGCCTTCTGGTTAGCAGTCAAATGCCTTAGGGACTACACCACCAGATGTCACAATTAATTAAAACAGTTCCAGCTGTTGATTGCATAATCCTTTTTTTGTGTTTTAATAATATATTGAGTGCCATTACCTTTCCTGGTGGGCCCCTTCTCTACATTACACCTTCTGGAAGTTTTGAGCTTTGTACTATTGAGTCTTACTCTTTTTCATTTCAAAAAAATAAATTAATATGTTGATCATACAGAGACACTCACAAAATTAGGGCTGTTATAAATGTAAATTAATTCTGTTTATGATTTGCTCATTCTCCACCCTAAGGAGAAGACCATTTCTCCATGGTTGGCTCCATGCAGGAGGCTATTGACATAGCACAAAGAGAAATGGAACTCCAAGGGCCAAATTTGATTTTTTTTAAATATGATATAACCCTGTCCCTTCATTCCAATACCCACCCCAAGCATTTACCCTGTGGTGGAAGCCTGCAGCTTTCTTTGTTTGTTTCTTCAATTATACAGACAGTAGGATCTGCATCCTTACTAGCATATAGAAAAATCAGAGAAACAATGCAAGCAACTGTGTAAGTATGGTCTTATTCTCTAGATCCATCCTTTTTAAAATCAGAATGAACCTAGGTCATAAACCATATGTCCATGGTACTTGAACTCATAACCTACTGCATACATGGAGGCTGTTGTCATGGGAACCCTATCATTCATGTGAACATGGTCCTGTTGCATGCATGCTGACCCATGCTCCTAAGGCTTGAATGATGCTAAAATGGTCACATTTGTCCTGTGCCTAAGATTTATTCTGCTCAAAAACATGAATTGGCTTATGAGCAGCATAAATAATAGTGGTTTTTTACAGAGAGGGTTCAGAAAAGTGTTTCGGTCATGTCAATAAAACTGAAGCATGGTTGGACCACCAAAAGGTGGTGTCTATAGAAAAATATGAATTATCACTGATTTATTCACTATTGCTGAGTTTTACTCAATAGGCATTTAATGAGTACTTTTCGGTGTGTGCAACCCTGAATCAGTTGCTCTTGAAAAACAAATCAAACTCCCTGAAATTTATTCTTAGAATAAGAAAAATGAAATAATATATTCCAGTGCTTTGTCTGACATCATACACTGTGATTAAGAAGGAATTCCTTTTTTTTTTTTTTTTTAGTGTTAGAATTCTCAGGAATTTCTAAAATACCCCTCTGTGGAAGTAGATTGCCCAATCTTCCTTCCGAGGAGTGACTGGTGGGTTTGAAGTACGGGAATGTAAAAAAGAATTCCTTTTTTTTTTTTTT